AGAATCGTACCCCCGCACTGCCGCCGCCGTCTGTCCGTTCCAGATTTCTCTCTCTCTCTCTCTCTCTCTCTCGCTCGCTCGCTCGCCCCCCCCTCCCTCCCCATCCTAGTGTATACTTTACGAGGGCCAGAGGAACGACATAGTTCCAAAAGATCTCCGGGATCGCGAAGTGTGTCCCGAGATTAAGCTCCGGCAGCAGAGTCTCTCTCTTGCAAGATACTCCTTCTCTTTACCCTCACCCCAAACGTAACTCCTTGATTCACCGGGAAGGAAGCCGTTTAAAGGTTTTATCTCCGCGGCAGGTTCGGCTATATTTTTCTCACAGTTGGCTGCGCCGCGAAAGCTCGAGATCCTTGCGAAAATTCCTCCGTGTGGCTCTCTCTCTCTTTTCGAGGATCGCGAGGGTTCTTCCATTAGGAAAAGTTTTTTTTTCCCCTCTCATGGCGACGCGCGATCTTAATTATTTTTTTCCCCCGAGGATCATAAGATTAACCGTGCGATTCCTCCTCGCGGAACGTGCACCTCTCTCTCGTCCGAGATTATAACTTGGGTAGTTGTGGAAACGCTTTCGCCGTGACGCGACGACATTTTTCACTTCGAGATTTTTTTTCGGAGCTATTTATCCGCTGCCCTAGATATCTTTCCATTCGACAGATTATTAGTTTTTATGGCAAATTATTTCCGAGGAACCGTGCATTCTTACGACGTGTTTTACGATCGATTGTAATTGCTTGAATAAAGAAATATAACGAAATGAAGGGTTTAATCCAAGAAAACAGTAGTACGATTCCCTCTGGAAATCTAACTTTGTTACGAACGTATAACAAAACAGACGCGAGTAGTACAACTCAACTTCAAGTAAGACAAAACCAGCGGAACCCCGCATACAAAATATTCTCGGTTCGCGTAGCGTTACTCGCAAGTTCCCTCCCTCGACTACAAGCACTTGCGTGTATGTATTGTGTCTGCACGCTAATGTCGGGCAAAAGTAGGTCGCGTAGCCAAAAGACAAATCGTACTTCTTAAAACCCAGAGACGCTCGTTCTCTCAGGCGCAGGCGGAAGGAAGCCGTTTAAAGGTTTTATCTCCGCACTGGTAATAATTCTCTCACAGTTGGCCGCCCCACTCGGCCACGCATCGTTTGACGGCGAGTCGCCGAGTTTTAAAAGCCCCGTCCTCCTCTGCGCTGCCGAATATTCCCGTTGTTGTTTCCAGCGCGAGTCGACCGACGTAGTTTATTTTGTCGCGCTGTACATGCGTCGCGGGGCTGCTTATTGCCTCGCAAAAGAAAAATGGATGACGACGGCAACGACAACTATCTCGTCAAATTGCGGATTGTATTCAGAAGTACCGTGGGGCTTTCGAGATCCATCCTTTTTTTTCAAGGGCGTCGTTATTCCTCCTTGTAAAAAGAGGAAGGGAACTTTACCAGTGGATGCTTTTTGCTTTTATCACGGCCTACGGTTTTGTTGCTTCAACTTTTGGGATTCGTAAATTTCTAATGCGAGCGAGAATTTACATTTGCTTTCAAATTAAACTTCTTTTCACTTTCATCCATAAAGAAGATCAATTCATCGAGTCTCGTTAATAGTATTTTAAAATAAATTTATTTTTATGTATTTATCCTTTTGTTCGCGTCGCAGGTCAGGAAAGCAAGAATACAGAAGTCGCGACACTTGATCAACGATTTCAAAGGAAGACTTTCTTTCCAGAGCATTAAAGAAAAAAAGAGTCTTTGTGAAATCGCAGAACCTCCGTAAACTTACCCACACGCGCACAAGCTCTTGGAAATATGATTTCACAGCCGACGACGACGACGACGAGGACGACGCAACAATCTCTCGAAGAGAGCCGTTTTCTATCATCGTTTTTCTCGCAATAGCCGGCGGCTAAATCGGCATTCCGACTCGTCGACGGGGAGTCTCGAATTATCCCGAAGCTCGTGCGACGAGGACGACGACGCTCTCAGCCACAGCCTGTGCCGTCGTCGGAATAACGCCAATGGCCTCGGTGCTTTAACGACGCAAACGCGTAAAAAAAGGGGGGGACGTTGGCGGCACTTCTGTAAGTGCGAGATACGTGAGCAAAAATCAAGAGATGAAGAGCTTTAGATAAGGAATTGAACGTGGCAGATCGCTGATCGCTAGATAGAAGGAAAAAAAAAGAAAAATTAACGAGCGGATAGGAATGACAGAGATTTTGATACTAGGGTCAGAGCATCTGACGAGTAAAAAAATAATTAAAGGTTTAAAATGTCAGAATTACACTCTTTAGAACAATGATATAGAATTATGTTATATCACAGTCCAAATGTTCATTTTCGCGAGGACGCGTCTTTTCTTCAAAATACGTATGTCTATTACCGAACCTTTTTTTTTAGAATTTTACTGCCTTGAAAAGGTCAGAATTGGAAAAGTACATAAAATGCCGAATCCATAATCTATAACGACTTTGCACATTACCGGCACTTAACTGATCATTGACATCCACAGTCGTCTTGTCCGCTGCGTATAAATTATAATAATTTCGTAATTACCGTTGAGCGTCCGCGATTACGTACAAGTTTTCAATTTCACATTCTCATACCAGATATATCGCTTGCAAGAAAAAGGAAAAGATCGAGCCGAGAGAAATAAACCGCGTAATGCCTTTACAAACGAATCACCCTGAGCATCTGCTCGTCATTTATCAGCATCAGTTTTACATGCAGCGTTAAACGAGAAGGCAATATCTCGACTTGGGCGCACGAGAACAAGATCCAGATACACGAAAGAAAGAGCGAGAGAGTGAGAGAGAGAGAGAGCGAGAGAGTGAGAGAGAGAGAGAGCGAGAGAGAAAGAAGCCGCACGCGCAAAGGCCACGACGACGTTTATATCCCTTTGGCATTTTGTCGAGCAGACGCTTTTGCCGCGCACGCTAGTTCGGAGTAAAGAAAGCATTATAATTTGCCATAAAACGCTTTACGATGACAAAACGCCGCGAGCTCACGCAATAAAATCTCTGCAACCAGTGTGCACGTGCGAATGACTACGACGCTATCCCAAGTAATTTCTTTACAGTCGCCCTGAGTTCTATGGCTCTAAATAAAAATCGAGACAATGCTTCTCAATGATCAGTTTTTCTAAGCTGCGCGCTAACTATTTTTCTCGGAACCTCAATTATCGCGTGTGTTGGGATAATCAGCCTTATGACTCAGTTACATTTCCACCCAAAGATTTATGAACTCGGCAAATAATTAATTGACTATTAAAATATGAAATTTCACGAACAAATGAATTGTTATGTGATACATTAAATTATTTTGCTGAAAATTTGAAAGACTTCATTTCGATATATTATGTTTCTAGATTAAATAATACGTAGAAAATGTTATTTACCAAAGATATTATTAAATTACTGATTATGAATAATAATAATTTATCAAATTATTTTAACAATGAATGTTAAAACAACATTCGTCAAATTTTCAAATATAAATTTTCAAATAAAAATAATAAATGTTTGAAATTTAGCTATATTTAAAAGTTAGATTAGAGTACATAGATTGTTAATAATTAAAAATTTAGCATAGCTTAAAATCCCATCGAAGATATACATGTATAGTAGAGTTTTATTTTACTGCACTATAAAGAATATTACAAAAAATACAACATATTTATAAATTTTTACTTATGGTATTCAATGAGTTTAGTCGTGCTTCTTCTAAATTTATTTTGCTAATTATATAAAATGCACTCGAAAATCTGTTGATATAGGTACGTACCAATATTGCACTTTTTGAATTAGGAATTTACTCGCTGATGAGCTCAAAGTGAAAAAGTATGTCTCTTCTAAAACAGATGGTAGACACCTTTAATGATTATAGCTCTATACGTCATTTCTGAGTGTAAATCTTTAAGTCATAAAATTATACCTGAAGGGTTTATACTCAGAAGATTATGAGTAAATTTTTAATGACTAATAGTAACCTTTAAAAGAACAAAACAAGTATTCCACCGTAATAACTCATGCAGTTCTGAAAACTGGTTTCAGCTTCATTAGTTGTAATGGTTGACATTATTTACAAATGTAAATCCCCCATTACTAATTGACGCAATAGACGTTATAATTATGTGAATGACAAAGTGTGCATATATATATGGTATTGAAGGTACTTGATACACGTAATTTTTCCAACAAAAGGCTGACTACATCTACATTTTTGACAATTACATTGCAAAATTATCCTTCGATCAAGTCAATCAATATCAACCGTTTCCAATAAGTCCAGTTTTATTGAAATTAGTTTAACCGTAGCAATGGTACGTGAAAAAAATATGCAGGTTAAAAATAAAACCTCCTTCTTTTTTTAAATCGACAAAAATGATCAGTAAATCATTTTTTTTTATTCACACCAACTTATTTGCGACCTCAAAATGACCTTCATCGTCGCCATGATGAATAAAATAATTACCTAATATTTATAAAAATGATAGCAGTGAAAATTTTAAAGAGCTAGACAGTCTTTCTTTCCATTTCATCTATGTTAGCTTGCAGGTGCAATTACCATGAAACGATTATTCTCGAAAATTTTCTTTCACAAGTTCCTGATCAACATAGACGGAAAATAATTATTTTTGAATATTTGTTTGCTTTCTAGTTTATAGCCAAATGGGTTTTGTATATTCTATTCTACAAGATATTTTTGCAAAAGAATAAAATTATAAGATAGTAATGATGATTATATGACATTTCTTAGGTAGTATTAAACTTCAAACTTGCATACTGGATATATATTCTTCATGATACAATTTGTTTTATATTGTACACATTCGACATCTAATAATGTCTTGTAATTTTATGGGAGTATTCTTCTGTATCTTTTAGGAATATTTGTTTTATTAATTTATATTGATTATATTTTTGATAAATATGAATATATTACATAGATTTATTTATATGAATTCAAGTTAACGAAAAGGCTACTTACTATAGCAAGGTAGCCACCATTATTATCTTACTCGTTCCAAAGTTTTTGATGAAATCTTACTCCCTTAGGTGCTGGTATATAACTTATTCGCCTGTATTTCTAATAATCTCATGGACTAATCTTCAACTTTCTTTTCTGTTCATTATCAGACTGAAATTCCGCTGGTTTACAACATTCTTAGCCAAATTTACATTTCTGATAATTATTATCTACGTAAACCTGTAACAATTGCATTGTTTCATCAACAATTCTTTCCAATTCTTCAGATGGATATTCAATATTGTACATGACATTTAAGAATAAAATAAGAATCAAACTGAAGATTATTAACGTGTATATCTTTTTCACCGCTAATTAACTGATTACTTTCATAATCTTCCATTATAACAGGAACATCAAGATAATTATGCAATAAAACTGCTAATAACAAGATGCAAAAAAATTTAATATTATTTTTTCCTATTGTCAAAAATAAATACAAACAAAATATAATTGGAAATTGTATAATCTTTCCTAAGACAATAAAGCAACAAAAAACTTACTCAATATTTCACTTTACATTCTTGTCAATACATTTTGTAATTTACAATTATTTTCTACTTATACATTAGTAATTGACATTATACTTCCGTTATAATGGCTAATTGTATTATAAAATAACGAACGAGAAACGAACTTTACTGGCTACAAATTTAATTAACTACTAAAAATTCGAATCAAAAGTAGAGAAGTATATTACGGAACTAACTTTGTAGAAAAGATTTATATCAGATACCATTATCTTATACCGTATCTACTGTACATAATAGCGATTAGATTATGTTTGTTACTTACTCTTTCATGAAAAAAATTTGAGTCATACTATACGTAAATCCTTATTTCACGCTTCTACAGAAATAATAATAAATGAATGTAATTAGAACTACCTCAAAATATACAGTTTGCAAATTTTGTTCATTGTTCGATACCCATATGAAATTCATAACATTTGAATAAAAATACATATAATCGATAACGTTAGAAAAGCAGTGACAAAATCATCGGGAACTAAGTCTTTCCATAGTGCGATACGAGTAACGCATATTTAAGTGTTACAGGGCAAGCTTTACTTATACGCAAACAAAATTATAAAAGCTGATTGGATGTTTATATATCAGAAATCGCATTAGCCAATGAAATACTTGCAAACTCCTCTATTTTATATCAGTTACTTTATCCGTTGCTAGTATTTATTGCTTGAATTGTGAAAGATATCGTATTGTTATAATGGCATTATTGGTTATAGTATAATTTCAAGAGATGAATGCAAATTTATCACCGATGAGGATAAATTTTAGTATGGACATTGAGCATTCATTAAAACAATTTTTATTCAGTGAATATTTGTACATAGTAATAAAAAGTTGTCTGAAACAAAATCGTAGTAATATAAAAATAATATATTTTAATTATAGCGATTAAATTTTTCTCACCCGAATCATTGCCTTATATTCCATTATAAAAAAAGCAAAAAAATCTTGTCACGCGACATCGATTCTTGCCACCAATTTCATGACTCTTTTTTTGTAAGAATTTGTGATAGATAACATAAAAGGATAAATCAATCTTTTGTTTGCTGTTCCCTTCTTTATCACCTAGCTGAAATAATTCAATAAATTATGTATTAAAAAATTAAATAATTATTTCACGTTGACTGGGAGAAATGAATAAATTAATGGAATATCGGTAACTCATTTTTTCCTTAGATAAGTTTATTTAATTGCTTTATTGGATATACTTTATTTTCATTATACCGTGACCTTTAATGGACGATGAACTTCAGGAATAATCTTCACGAATAATATTTTATGTACGCACTGAAGCTAGTAAAATAGTGCTAAACACTCACAGTAATATCTTTGACAAGTCATTAATTTTTGAATAATGTTTCTTGCTTTGGAAAAAACGAGAAGATTACAGCGGCGGGCTCGAAAATAAACTGCATCAGAGTCGAATTCAACTAACTTTATAAAATAACCTCGAAAATAATGCTTATCGCGAAGTGTTTTCGTCATAGCATTGACATTAATTTTAATTAACTGGGCGGCGAAAATACAACTTCTAAGTTTAACTTCGAATTGAAATTATCACCGACATCGATGTTCTATATTTGATTCCGGCTAATAACAAACTCGGAGCTTCCCGACAAAAATAATCTTGAATACCGTTATGTAAAAGTCTATTTTTAGACAAATCATTCATGATGTCACGAAAACAGTTTGTTCAAGTTTCAAATTATAGTATATTTTGTAATATGATACAGAGGTTCATCCTGAAGCTGCCCTAACGAATATTCCAATTTTCAAACCAGTCATTACAAGTCCGACCGTCATTGTCGATTTCAGTCTAGTAAACGCCAACGATTACTGAACTGAATTAGCGTTCTGTCCAATCACTATTCTTTCATCAACAACAGATGAATAAATTTAAGTATCGTTATTTTTTTATTGTAAATTAAAATTTAATAATTGATTTTGTAAATCAACGTCGAGTAAATACAACTACAATTGAGCTGACTAAGTTGGGTATTTTTTTACAACAAATGTTTGGATCGAAATGGGCTACCATTACCTTTCTTTTTTGTTTTTTTTTGTTTACGAATTTCATTATAGTAGTTCACAAATATTTCAAGTAAAATACTGCTAATAAAACTAAAATGAACAGTTATAAAATATAATTAAATAAGTGTAAAGGATAATGTAATGAATGGTGAGAAATAAAAAGATGCACATGAGTCCATAAATTAATAAACGAGAAATCGTGAGTTTTTCAACAGGAACGTATGTTTATTTTGCACTGAGCAGAAATACAAGCTATTCATGAATTACGAAGGTTACAGCTGCTGCAAGCCCACCCTCTCCTTTCTCTCTTGCTCTATTGAAACTTTTCGCATTTTGTTTAGCTTCTCCTGTCTCTCTCTCTCTCTCTCTCTGGCTCTCTGTCTCTGGCAAGCCATTGTCTCAGTCTGTTTACGAATTAAACAATTACCTGCCCTCTCTTGACTTTCTCTTTTCTATTATTCTTTGTGTATTTATAGTCGCATGAAGGGAGCAAAGAGAATGACAATGAAACATTGAATGGTAATTACTAATGACTTATGGTACGTAAACCAGCATTTACAATGTTTTCCGCATCATTTGGACTTATATATACATTGATGACAAAAAAAGGTGAATGTTTCTATTTACTTTACCTCTACATATCTATTTATACTCTCTGTCGCTCACTTTCGTTCAATGTCTTGAAAAATAACGGGCGACTCATTCATTCGTCTTTTCATCCCGAATAGGTATTATATGGTAGAAGAGCCTGGACTCGTTTCCCTCTCTCTCTCTCTCTCCCTCTCTCTCACTCTTATTCTCTTCTGCGTATGTTGTGTGTGAGAGCGTGTATTTATCTTCATAAATAATATAAGGGCTATTCAAAAGACAGAGAGTGAGAGGGGAGAGAGAGAGCTAGAAAAGTGAAGAAAAGAATAAAGGCGCGGCTTTCAGGCCGCTTTGTTCCCTCTCTTAATTTCTTCTTTCTTTACCCTCAACTCCCCGTTTCACCCCTTCTCTGCTTTTTATATGTATATATCTCGCGGCATTCTTCACGATTTCTACATTTCCTCCCACCCTAATTTTTCCCCGTTATAGCCGCAGCTCTCTCTTTTCTTTTCTTTCTTTGGCCTTTTATAACAAAAAATCCCTTTTCCCTCATTTTCCACGCTGAAATGGAAAAAAATACAACGTGTGTATGCTCGTATGTGTGTGTCTCTGTGCATGTGTATTATTTTTTTGATCCCAATTGGAATAAACAAAGTCGATATTGTAAATTTGTAAATTTCACATTTATTTAAAAATAAAACAAATAATTACACTTAAACTTACATATTATACATCAAATGCATAAAGGAGGGATTTTTGGAGGGAGGGGATAGGAAGGATGATTTGGAGATTGGTAAAGAAAACGAAATAGAAGAATTACAAAAAACGGAATAGTTTTTTTTAATCATCTTCTTATTTCATACTCGCATATCTCTCTTTGCGAAAAAGGTAAAAGCTCTGTACACATACACACACACACGCGCGCATACGCACAAATATATCACACACACAATTTGACGCTGCAAAGAGACGAGGAGGAGGGGTCGCAGCTTGTCTCTCTCTCTTTCTCTCTCTCTCGCTCTCTCTCTCTCTCCCTCCCTCTCTCTCTCGCTCTCTCGCTCTCTCTCTCTCTCTTTCGACGTTTACAAAAAAGATTTTTTTCTCGCACATACGAAAACAACAAATATTCGCGGGGGCGCGATCGACAAAGATATATTATCCAAAGGATGCACTCTCGGCTCAAACGCATCACGCACATCACGAAAGAGGAAGTTCGTTCGTTGTTTTCGTATCTTGTTTCTCTTTTTTTTCTTAATTTCTTTCTTTCTTTTTTTTCTTTTTACTAGTGGAATATATATTTATATAGATCTCGAAGGAAAAACGTAAACGTATCACTCGCATGCTCATCGCTTTCGTACACACTCATACACACTGTATTTTTTTTCTATTTGCGCCCTTCCTCGGTCTCGAGTTTCTTTTTTGCAATTCTTTTTCCTTTCGTAAACGCTTTATCGCGGTCTTACACGTTGCTACACAAGCAACATATATGTAGGACGACTCGCAAAGGAATTTCTTCTGTTTTGTTTTCATTAAAGTACGAGGAACACACTCTCCTCGTGATTTCTTTCATCTTCAATTCTCTAACTAATACAATTCTCAACAATGGATTTTTTTATCTTTTTTTTATTCCCTATTACAGTTATACGAATCAATCGTTGCTCGAACGACGTTCTTTGTTATTATTTTGTTTCTTGCCTACAAAAACGACGAAAGAAAAAAGAAAAAAAATGAAATTGGCACGCGATCGATCTCAATATTCATGGAAAGCTTCTCGAAAGCAGCGGCGGAAAAAAAATCGAGCTTTACTTTTTATTCGCCGCGTGCCGGATGAAAGCGCGTAATTCACTTGTCGCTAATATTTACAGATAAACAATTTACGCAATAATTATACAGATATATACGCAATACACGAAGAAACAGCGGAGTGTTTGACGAAAATAAAATCATAAAAAGACTCGACAATCATACTCTCATATAAAAAAATAATCATGTATTTCAAAAACGACTTTGTATTTTTTTTTCTAACTTTCTTCCACTTATCTTGTATTAAATAATCAAAGTAAAACTACATCGAAGCTTCAAAAGCGAGCTTACAATAATAGATATAACCTTCATCTCTTATTTAGTTTTTTTTTCTTTAATTCTCGTATGAAATAATCATCATATATATATCAACATCATCGTTATGTACAGATTTGCACCGACCCACTTCGTCTACTTTTGTTCGTTCGCTTTAGCTACAAAGAAATTCCTTTATCGTGCGAAATCCTAAAAAACGAATGATCGCGGAAGAACGTATTTGGCGTCGGTCGACAATAATAATTTTTTCTCCTCAATCTTAATTCCACGCGCTAACAGCTCGACATTTTTTACTTTTACTTTTTGTATTCATTATTAAAGTCGTATAATAATTAATCATTGATCTTACAAGTGACAAGAGGTCGTCTCATCTTCATTTTACTTGGCTAAGCTTACTTACAATTAATTTATTATCTAATTAATTCTTTTGTACAATTAAACAGCTTAAAGTGGTAATACAGAATCGATAACGAGTTAATAATAATAATGAGAATTAGAATAATAATCATAATAATTAATAATTCATAATAATGACATTAATAAGCATTAGCCCTATAGTCAATAATTTATGTAAAAATCATATAATCTGAATATTCAACTTGAATCCTTTTTTTACTCTCACACAGACACTCCCAATATCATCATCGCTATCTCTTAGATTTTTTCTATTTTTCTTCCTATAGACATTCAAAAATTTGATTTATCTCTTTCTTATGTCTTACATTACATTACACGAGTATCACACGTATATCTTTCTATCTCTCACACGTAAGTCATTACAAATGCTTAATAAGAATCATGGAGATAGTCTCCTAATGCGAGAACACTTTTGCCATAAAAACCTCGAGAATGGGGATCACCTCGATTATTTGCTACTATTATTGGTTTCCGCTGTGTGCCTTCCCTTTATTCGTTCATTCGTTTGCTCGCATAAAGCAAGAACGAAACGAAAGAGAAAAGACCTCTAATAGTTAAATGAAAAATAGATTAAAAAAGGACAAACAACGATTACATGTACGCTTTGCGACAAATTAATAGTAATAATACAAGTAAAAATTAATAATACAATCTATCGAAATAAAAGTAACGTTAAAAATAAAAACGGTATGTATAGATTCAAAATAAAAAGTGAAAAAACAACATAAAATATAGAATTATATAAATGAATTTTTTCATATAATTTCTTGTTTAAACTCGGAAAACATCGCTCGAGAGATAAACAATGTTGTACGAATCTTTGGTAGGTGACTTTTTTACGAGAGAAATAAAAATATATATAATATATACGTATAATAAACATCGCGCGCGCAACTACTCCGTTTGTAGATTATATAAACACGACGATCAACGCAAAGATTGGTATTGCACGTGGATTTTTGAGCCTTTAGGTTTCCTTTATTTTGGCTCGACGAGTTTTTCTTTTTGTACGTTTCTCTCACCTCGTGATTATAGAAATGAAGAAGATAACGCTCAAAAAGCCTACACATAACAAATAGCTTGTAAAACGAGCGCCGACGCGAAAAACAAGACAATCCGCTACATTTTTAATCTGAATTGTTGTTGCTGTTGTGCTTTAGCTCGCTCGGTTTTTCTTATTTATTTATTTATTTATTTTTATTTATTTTTTTATTTTTATTTTTTTTAGTGCCGCTTAATAGGCCAGACGCGTATACAACCGAACTGCAATTATTTTTATTTTAGTTTTGTTTAGGACGTGAGAACTTTCATCAATTGATATTTTGTGCGTTTATTCAGATTAAGAAATTTTATGTAGAAAAAGCTCCCACGTCAGCGACTCGTATCCCTCCTCCTTTCGATTTCATTGTGCCCGAATCCTCGCTCTTGAACAACGATTCTGTAATACTGAACGAACGATGGCTTTTCCGCGAAGCCCAGTTTTGTACCTATCCTTTTGTGTACTCGATGACGCTAGCGTTTAAATGACGAACGTTAAGGAAACAACGAAGTACAACGGTCAATAAAAAGAAGAATAAAAAGCATCTCAACGACGAAGCGGACAAAAGTACGGGAAATAAATAGTTCGAAAAGACGTCGTATAAAAGCAAATTGCGCCAAACGCGTGTAAGTCGTAAAAAAATTGCGCGACATAAAAAGAAAGAAACATATAGAACGCCGCGTGAGCCTCTCACTCGGTCGTTTTTAATACTCGCGAAACACCTAAAGGGAATTAACAGTTGGGGTAATTTACAGTAAAAAAGAAACCGCGTGCAGCCATTACGTCGCCGGGCGAAACGAGCGTGAGCGTCGTATATAGGTATACAGCCGTGAAAAAAGAGCTTTTCTTCTTCTCCTTTCGTGATGATCGATTGCTTCGAGAGAGAGAGAGAGAGATGTAAAATATATTGGCGAAAAAAGGACTGTGCGAAAAGAATTGTCAGCTCTCTCGCTCCCTTGTCGTCGATAGATTCGTTCGTTCCGAGGCATTTTACCTTAAAGATTATTCGATTGATTCGATTTCAATGCCATGTGTAAGAGCGATCAATCGAAAATCGACGAGGAACGAAAGGGAGCGAGAGACACCGCTCGACGCAACAAGCAAATGGTTAGAAGAAAAGCGAAGCAAGTGTGTGCAGTGAAGCGCTGTCCAAATATACGTCTACTATCCCGTTGGCTCATAATCCCCGTGGCAATCAATTTGCTATATCACCAAACAACGACTTGGTTTTTTCTTTCAATACTTTCCCCCGATCGTTTTACTTTTTAAACGTGTTTACCTTTCTTGTCCAGTTTTCTTTCCTTTATTTTCTTAAATATTAACCTAATAGATTTTTTTTTGTTTTCGTTGCACGAGGCTCACTCCCTCCATCTAATATACGAAAGCCCATTCGACTTGTCTTTCTCTCTATGAATTAGTACAAAATTACATGCTCGATCGCGCGTTTTCTTATTATTTTTTTTTCATTTAAATTCACAATCTGTAGCGTATTTTAGTTTCCTTTTGTCCGTATTTTATTTTTCTAATTCTTTATTTTTTTTATAAGATCACACGTATAACAAATTATCATACGTCATATACCGTTTATTCACAATTATACAAATAGATGATGTATACACAACGAGGTACGGCATTTTCTTTCGCGTATTTTCATTTTAAATCGTGTTTCCTCTAAATTTTTTCCTGCTCGACCCCTCATGTAGAAGGGAATACTACCTATAAAGAATCTAAAATCGTCTTTTAGGCTCTTTCACGGTGAAAAAGTCTTTTCGTTATATAATTTTTTTTATTGGTTTTTTTTTTCTTTTTCTCTGTTATCTCGGTAAAATGCGTTATCCAAATCGAGGTGCTCGATAATTAGAATCTCATTTGCTTATTTAATTCGAAGATGACTACCGATCGATCTTTGCTCATTCTACAAACTGCAAGTGACGCAATGGAAAAAGAAAACGTTCACCGTTGCACGCGCGGCCCTTTCACATGTACAGTTTTTTCTCATTCGCTCCATTAATTTATCTTTTTAATTAATAATATAATAATAATCTGCGCTCGATCGTGTATCTATTTCACACGAGCTCTCATCATTAGTGGATCTCTCTCTTTTTTTTCTAAATATCGGCTAAGAACATAGACCTGCGCTGCGTTTTCTCTCTGCTGTACGCCTGTATAAAAGTTGCTAAAAACCCTAGCCTACTATGGTTGTGTGTGTTTTTCTGGGTATTATTATTATTTGTTGTTTATTTGATCACTTGTCGATGGCTTCGTTTATTTCTTTAGTGACTACAATATGTGAGACTTTGACTCGATTTTTAGTTGGAAGATCGCAACGCTCTCATCCACTTCGCTCGTAATTATCTTTGTTATTTCTTTAAATATATTAACTATGTATACACGTGCATTTTTTATCTCTTTCTCTCGCGGTTGTTTAGGCCTCGAAGGTCCTTAATAAACCCCGGTTGAGTTTTGTTTGCGAGTGTTTGCGCTTATACAACGGAATGTCTTCGGTCGGTAAAAAGAATCACAATTAAAATGATCCCACTCATGTCACTGTATTTCCTTTATTTTTTGGCCACTATAGATAAACGATTGCGTACTTTGTTTATTTTTTGTTTGTTCATCGTGATTATCTTGTTTCTTTTATCAATGAGTAAGTCGAAAGGATAAATAGTTTTGAAAAAAGTCTGATTGATTTGTTTTACTTATTTTTTGGCACGGTCATTGTGTTTGTGTTCTTGTGTGTGCTTGTGTCCGTATGCGTGTGCTAGTGTGTGGGCGCGTATGCGCGTACATGTGTCATTTCGGGTATATCATTTATAATCTATTGTCTCTCCTTGTATTTTTCGTTTGTTAACAATTCAAAGTTGATTGTACGCCTTCAACTATTATAAAAGAGCGAAGACACACTCGACTCGCAGATATAGCTGGCAGTGATGTCGGACTTGTTTTTTTTTGTTTTTATTTTATTTTTGCGCGCGTTCACCTTCTTTTTGTTGCCTATTTACTTAAAAATTGTCACTCACGCAGACCTAACTCTCACATCCACTCAATCTATAGCACACTCTCTTGTTCTATCTACGTGTTTTAATAACATAATCGTGTAATTCAATTTTTTCTTTAAACATTTTTATCTTTGCCTCATCATTCCTCGTTTAAATTTTTCTCGGTCGGTCGATACTGTTCCAGATGTTGTAGTTGTTGTGTTTCGTGTGTATGTCCTATAATCAATTCATATATATCTTTTTTTTTGTTCTATCACAGGAGGATACGACGCTGGTTTGTTTGCTCATTATTATTTTTTTTGTTTTGATGACGAGTTTCCTTAGACGTGGCGTTTCATGTGCAAAGCCAGATGGTCACTGCGGGAGAAGCAACGGTCGCAGTGCCGACACTTGAACGGCTTTGCCCCGGTGTGCTTACGGTAGTGACGCGTCAACTCGTCCGAACGCGCGAACCGCCACTCGCAACCCTCCCAGCTGCATTTGTATGGCTTCTCTCCTATAACATACATATGAAACATTTTCGTTGAGATTAATAAAGTCACCTTATATACGCATTTCATTGGGCTGCATGTGGCTGCTCGATAGTACATAAACGCAAGCATACACTGCGCGCGCGTATGAACATGTGGCGTGCTATTGCGATCCTGACTCGTAACGTACGTGGCCGCTCATCGAACGGGACAAGCGCTCCGAGTAAATTAGGTTGTTCTCATTGACAATATCGTTATCCGTGCCAACAAAGTGCAGCAAAAGTGCGACGAAAGAGTCAGATTTGCATGACAATTCCATACTTTGCATACTTTAAACTGTACACCAAGTACTTGTGCGATACTTGTTCTACACGTGCTTTTACGGGCATCTTTTGCAGTAGCCAGCATGCAAAACCAGATTGATCGGCCTCCCAGGAAAACCCGCTCAAAAACAAAAAAAGCTAATAAACTTTTAGCTGCGAAACAGGAAGTATATCCCCGAGGCCTCCCTCTCGCGCACGCAAGCTTTCCCGAAACACGCTTCCCGCTCGAGAACACCACCTCGTTTTTCACGGGAAGGGACGTGGCAGCAGTAGCGGCGGCATTATTAAGCCGTAAATAATCCATTGCAAGCGTGAAGGTGGGCGAGAGGGGGGGCGCTGACGTTGATGAGGCCGCTGCGAGAGACAATGCTCACCTCGCCACCTGTGGCGCACGAGCGACGTGTGTGCGCGCGCGCGCGCACGTGTGTGTGCGAGCATAAAGTGGGCCGTAATAACGAAACGCGGTTACGAGATTGACTTGTGCCTCGAGCAACGTCTCTGTATATGTATATGTGCGCGTGACGTTGAGTTTCCGTTACATTGGTCGGGATTTTTTTCTTTCTTTTCCGGTTGTTTCGACGTTTGATGAGTTTGACGTCTGGAGGGTAAATTTGTGCTTGTGACAGTTTTGATCCCTCGTCGGCCGTAAGTATATTATTTCGATACGGCACTATAACGCATCGACTTTCAATGACGAGTGATCCCGTGTATATGACGACCGCGTGCCTGACTAAACTCGTCGCGTTACTACTTTCGTTTCGCTATATTCGAGCATATATTTTTTTTTATTTTTTTTTTAATCCATTTGTGCAATCAGTAAAAGAGTGGAATTAAATTATCACTCGGAATCGCACCGTCGTCTTTATTATCATTGTACACGTCGCGTTTGAATTTTACATCGCTAATGGAAAACAGCACGCCCGTTCGAATGACGCGCTGCATTCAAAAGGAAAGAAAATGGACAAACGAGGATAATAAAACGCGTACGGTTGACGAATGGCAATTATTCGCGTATATATGCAGCGGTGAACAAATTTCTTTTTTTTCGTAGCTTTAACAAACACGAACGATAAATCCGGGCAGTACGTGACGAAAAAAGGGGGCCGGAGGGTGGAACATGCGGAGATCTCGCGCGACGAATTTTTTACGGGTTGAGCTATGGTTTATTGCGAGGACGCGGGCAGCAGCTTGCTCTGCATCTCAGGGATGAGGATACGTAGGAAAATTCCGACGGGGTGCACACTTTGTTTTTCGCGCGCGGATGTAAATTCGCCTTTTTGCATTTCGGCGCGGAATGCCGGCGTCTCGGGGAACGGCCGATCGATACTTCACGCGCGAGGCGCAGAACTTTGGAGTTTCATCCGATATTAACGTTATTATCGACGATGCCGCGTGACTCAGCGCGCAGCTCGACCGAACGCTGTTCTCGAGGCCCGCGAAACGAGCTGATTAAGCAAAGGGCGCTGCGTGTCCTTCCAGGGCGTTAATCCACGGCGTCGCGGATGGGGTCGCAGTGGCGCTTAATATCCCCGGCGCGGCGGCTCTCGCCTGAAAAGGGAAAGCGGCGGCGGTGGCGGCGGCGGTGGCGGCGGCGACTTTTCATCGCGCGCGGTCATTTTTGTCCTCGAGCGATGATAATTTCGTTTAATAACCGCAGCGCGAAGCCTCTCGCATTCGTCTTTGTTGCGCTCGGGCGGGCTTTTGCGGTCGCTAGCTCCTGGGAGACCTTCGCGCCGCTTGGCTTGGCGTTAAATACATTTTCTGCTACCCTTCTTGCTTGCACTCTGGCTCCCCTTTTGTGGTCGAAGTGTGGCTCGCCACCCGCCCCCTTTAAAACCCTTTTGCAATATCGCTCTCTTGTCTGTTTCTATCCCGACGCGAGCCTAGGTTTGTGTGTGTGTTTTTCCTCCTTCTTCTTTCATTTACACGCTCGACTTCATTTAACTCGCGTTATACGCGCCTTTGGAAGTACGACGCTTTTTCATTCCCTCGGCCGAGGATTACATTTCAACGATTCGTTGGTACTTCGAGCTCGCAATTTTCCGCGGGAGACCGGGGACAACGTTGCTGAGTTTTCAATATTTTCCATTTGTCGGAGTTCGTCAAGTTCGTCCGCCCGACCGAATCCAAATCGCACTACTTGGCCGAAAGGCGAAAATTGAGTCCATAGCGCGTACAGCACATATGTACAGACAGGATAACGTTTGCATCGCGCATTTTATCACCGCATAATGGCGGCCAGACTTGGCGTGGCCAGCAGCAACGGCAGCGGCGGCGTAATAAAGCCATATTAAACGAGACGGCTTAACGCGCGACGCGTAGGTGTAACGAGTCAAGGGGAGATGGTCAGCGTCGCGTCCGACCGCACACGCCTCTCTCTCTCTCTCTCTCTCTCTCTCTCTCTCACTCAGCGCTGAATGTTATTACTGCGAACGTACTCTCTCTGCGCGTGCTTTATTGGATGCCTTAACGTTCTAATTCGCGATAATTAAATCGTCCGTTTGGGAATGCAAGCGGCCAACCATGTACGTCGCTGCTGTACGTTGTCTTGCGTTTACGAAAATGACGGATCCCTCCACGATCGTTCCAAAGCAGCCGCTGTGCCACCGAAGCCACACGTAAAAACTGGCAGCGAGAAAGGAAAAAAGAAAGGCTCTTACACTCGTGAAGTAATATTCAAAGGCAGCCTGCATATCCCGACGTGCAGTGCGCGAGATCATGCGAAATGACTCCTTTGAGAAAGGGGTTTTGAAGAAGGTCGAAGAAGGAAGCGAGACGTCAAAGTAGCGCCGCGCAGGCGCGTTGTCGGAGAAACGAATTGCGCGCAGGCAGCGGGCACTCGTCGATTTATTCATGCGCATGCATGCTCTCGTCTCGTTTTTAGCTGCCTCGAGCCGCGCGCGTGTGCGTGTGTGTTTTTTCCGTTCCTCTCGCGAACGAGGCTAGCGCGAACGAGTAAACACCGTTTTACGAGTGGTTTCCGGGCGTGTATTGAAATTCGAAGGAGAGTACTGGCCTATCCTCTCAGTGCCGGTGAATGTTTCATCGGTCAGCCTCGCTTTCGTGCGTCCTTACTTCGGAATCTGCGCGCACGTTACGGGCGCACTTTTTCAATTTTTCGGCGAGCGACGGGCACGCAATCTATCCGTCCCTTTCGATTTCACGAGGCATCGAACATTCTCCGAAAAACAAAGTCTAATCTCCTCGCAAAACTAATCTTTTATACAGCGCACACCGACGCAAGGGTCGTGCAGGGGGCTAAAGCTCAAAACATTCCGCGCACAACTCCGTCGACATATCCTCTCGCAGCAGCAGCGGCAATAGCAAAAGCCTCCATCCCTCTCCCCGAACACGTAGTTTTTTACCCTCTCTCTCTCTCTCTCTCTCTCTCTCTCTCTCTCTCTCTCTCTCTCTCTCTCTCTCTCTCTTTCTTGCTTGGCATGTCGCTTTTGCATTTTATTTAGTCCGCGCGTATACATCGTCGTGTGCGCGCCAGGACAGTCTTGGAATTTATGGTGAAATCCACGTGTTCCTCGTTCGCGCGCGCGCGTGCGAGAGAGAGAGAGAGAGAGCCAGCGAGCGAGATCGGAATATCATTTACGCCAGCAGCAGCCTAGATTGCGTAGGTGAAATTTCGCTGGCAGAGCGAGCGAGAATTACCATACTTTTTAAGATTCAGACTGTGCAGAGCTTCTCCTTGGCGAGGGCGAGAAGTGGCGCACTCGTGCTGTAAATCAATGTTATTTGCCGCGCTTATCGCGATCGGTTTGCCGACACCCGCGCGACGGGTAGTTCCTTATTTTTTTTTCTCGACGCCTGTGTTGTTTGGAATTTTAATGGAACGCACACACGCGCGCTTTGATAAATTTCGCCCGAGCTTAGATAAATTCGCGTCGAACGTGCCTGGAAGATCTCGCGTCTTCCGGAGATGTTTCAGAATGCCTTGCCTACGTGGGTTCTTTCAGGCTAGAAGTAGCTTGGGAGACTTTTGTCTTCTGCGCTCGCGTTTCAGTCTTGCTGCCGATGCCTTTTCACGCGCATACCTCGCGAAGCTGTACATCGTTTTCTCGCGCGCGTGCGCACCATCGACTCTCACGAGGACAAAATAGACGTCCTAATTGCATTGCTGCGAATGGGGAGAGAAAAATGCGCCATTTACGAATTCGCGAAATCTGGAAAGTCGCGGAGGGGCAAAACTAATACCGAATATCGCGGTAACTCGCCTTCGCGCACAAGACATCGCAATACGGCAGTTTCAAAGATTATATTTTGCTCGTACGAGTAGCATATACATGTATATAGGAAGGAGATAGTCTCGGCAGTTTTGTAGCGAGAGAGCGCGAAAGAAAAAAAGCAGCGGATTGCGGCGGGCTCGACGTCTCCAACTTATATGGGGACATAAAGTTCAACGTCGAGACGGATCCTCGTAACCCAACCGCAGGCGCCTGCGGTACAAGAGTGAGCGAGAGAGAAAGAGAGAGACTTTGAATTTGCGGTTCGAAAGGTAAGAGGATATGCGCGCGAGTTTAATTGCGTATCGGAGATGCACTGCGCATACTTCGCTTATTCTTTTGCTTTCTCTCGCACACTTATTCATAACCGTCCTCTTTTGCTTTCGTTGATTGCTTTCTGAGCGCAATGGCCGGTGGTGGTCCGATCGCTCAAGCCCCTTTTGGCGAAGCACGGTAGATTGTCGAAAACACGTTGACACGAGGAATAATCCGAAGACACTGGAATCTATTGTGCCCAAAAGTGCAGAAAGAGAGAGAGAGAGAGAGAGAGAGAGAGAGAGAGAGAGAGAGAGAGAGAGTGAGAGTGGGAACAAGATGTTTCCACGCGAACGAAACGGCAGGTGTAGCCAAGCATTAGACGCCAGCTCCGCCTTCTTGTGAAGCGAGCGCGTTGGCGTGATCTCGCGAGCCAAAGTAAACTTTTTATCGTCTCTGAAAGCTCTGTTTATACCCGCAAGCTCTGTCGTCGTACAATTGCCAAGTGCTTTTCTGTATATCGATGGTGCCGTTGTTACTCTCGGATCTCGGCGGAGGAGCAAAAAATTTTCCAATCAACAGGACTAAGGCGACTTTGATTCCGCCGTCCGCATTTAGCGGACCATCGGCTTGAATCTGTTTACCGGCGATTACGAGCCACGGGCGCAGGAGGAAAAACAAAAATGAAACGCGAAGCCGCGAAGGATCAAAGACGCGCAATGGGAAACAGCGGGGACAGAAAATAAAGTACTGAAACGCAAAGTCGCTTGTAATTAAAAATCGCTCCTTGTATCGCGCGCGTTTACTAACAACCGATATATTTTCCTTCCCGCTTGCCTTTTTCCATCCTCCTACGTGCCTTTGTGCACAAGGATATTTGCGTGCACTTCCGCCTAGTTAATATCGAAAAAATGGGGCGTCAATTAAAAAAAATTGAAAAGGGAATTAAAAGAAACTTGCAGCTAAAAGTAAATTTCGTCGAAAAGCTACTTTATTTTAACAACGTCGAACAGGTGGACAGTCAGTGTAGCATCAACATTGAATCCTTGTCAATCCCCAATAAGTCTTTGTTGGAGCGCGCGAGAGATGGTTCATTGATAGCTCATTAAACCGGTATTACGCCCAGCATATATAAACTGATGGAACGGCGGTTTTGTTGTATATGCATGACAGAATGGCCATTTGATTCCCTACGCGGGGCTAATAGGATGATAATATGCACTCAGGAATCATGGGATAACCATTTAGCCTGATTACAATCGGAGAGTATTAATAGGAGATTGTCGATGGGCAAAACAAAGACAGAGTATGCTCCGCCAGCAGGCAGTATTCTTGCTTGAAAAATCGCAGCGAAAAAGCAAAACAAGTAGACGCGCGCGGAAAGGGTTTGTGTCTCCCAGCGGACTCGTAACGAACCTTTTCGTTTGCCGGCTTGCTGACCTTAAAGACACGAGATATCCCGTTTCGCTGCGCTGCGCTCTGATGGTCCTTCTCTTCTCCAAGCTCGAAATTCGATTCGAGGCGAGATCAAAGTCTACTACTACCTCCGTTATTTTCTTTCAATCTCTGTCCTCCTACTCTGTCGCTGTTTTTTCGATTACCGGAGTAGAAAGGGCTACTGTTCAAAGGCATGCCGCTTACAAACAATTAGATTGCATCTCTCGCCCAGAGAGCGCGCGCACAAGGCAAGCGAGTTACCCACGGCAATTGCATTGGGACACAATGATGGGGCCCCGATTGCAACGTGTGTGGATAAGTTGCTTCTGATTGACCGAGGATAATTACAAGTTTTCTCGCGCCGAGTACGCACGTCAATGTGACACGTGTTTTACAGAATTCTATTAGCGACCAAAGTCAGTTTGTTGCCAAGTCCTATAATTGACTCAGTTAAGAATCTCCAAGCCAACAAAAATTTATATCTGAAAGCTGCTCTGGTTTTAAAGCGATAATCATTTTAAAGAACAAAGACGCATATGTATCAACGTATATTTATTCAATCTTGTTGACAGAGAAGTGCAAAAAAGATGAATCCGCATTTATAGATTGAAATTTATGCACAAAAATATTACATCGATGACAAATTAAAGCCAATCAAAAGCGAAGGAATAATATCAATTCCACAAAGGCAATTAACACAAATTGAACCATTTTGATTGCTACACCCGAAATTACTACAGTGCTGCATTACGCGATTTCAATAAAGCTTCCTGTACAAATATTAAACCAGCAGCACCGACAGAGAGAGTTAGGGTTGGGGCTGAACAAGGCAATAAGTATTTGCAGAACTTTAATAACAGCAAAGCGGATGCATTGTTTGGTGTTTTCTCTCTCTTCCTCTCTCCCTCCCTCTCTCTCTCTCTCTCCCTCTCCTCTCCCTCCGCCCACCTCTCTCTCACTCCCTGTGTCGGTCTGTTTAACGGCGCGAGCGTAAAGCAATTCGCGGCTTTCGAGGCAAGGCCAACACACAGGGGGTACCGCAGTTATTCCTCCACGGCTGGCGTTGCCGCTGCTCTACTGGCTAACCTCGAATCCGAATGAGCGTTGATTTGCATTGCAAGCCAACCCCCTCTCTCACTCTCTCCCCCCCTCTTTCCCCGTCAAAGCAAATGAAAGATAGCGCGTTAATGAGGAAAAAGTCTACAGAGAGTCCGTTTTACTACGAATCTTGTTTCTTTCTTTTATAGCTTTTTCGAGGATTAACCAAGTTTGTTTTTTTTTTTTTCGGTGAAGAAGCTTGCGGAAAAGCTATCGCAAATGTTTTATCGAGTTTCTCCAGCGTAGTTGGTTATCTCGAGTTCGCGTCCGAAAGGAGGTAAAATCTTTTCGAGAGTAAATTTATGGGGGGCGGGGGGTAAAAAAACAAAAAAAAAGAAATTATGCAATGCAAAGCCCCGTTATAAAACTTAAACAGAATAAATTCCGCAAGGAAAAGAAAACATGGTGACGGCAAAAAACAAATTCACGACACTGGGAATCACATCCCCGCTCTCCCTTCTGTTTTACGTATTCCCTCCTACGCCTTTCCTCCCCATTAATGCAGCATTTGTCTTTGGGTCGAATAAGAAACGGATAGATATCCAGGCTGCTCGCGCGAGTATAGATAGAAGTCGTGCGCAGCAAGGGGGTAATGATTAATTATAGGTCGTTATTTGCACGACGAGGTTTGCAGAATTCGTCGTGTTTACGAGACGCAAGCAATTATACTATTAATTAGACGCTAAAAATATGTGTTTCACGACCCAAAATTTCGCATGAAATAATATCCGTCCGAGAGAACTTCATCAATAGTCAATCTCGATAAGAGATGCCCGAAACGATTTTCATAATTTATCCGTGAGTATGTCTAAATAATTGCTCATCGTGAATCATTAGGCTAACGGAGCTCTCCGAATAATTCAGCATGCGTTTTCGAAAGACTTGGTAAATAAATTCTTAAATAATTCTTCCATGTCTGACCAATATCGATCAGTACTACTTGCGCCAGTACGTCCCAACGAAAATGCACAGTCCGAAGAGTTATTACGAAACGTAACTTACCCGTATGCGTCCTCTGATGTGCTTTGAGGTGCGAGCTCTTGGTGTAAACCTTTTTACATCCTGGAAACTGGCACTTATGTATCCTACGCTTGGTGTCGGGTGGACTGTGCTCGTGCGACCTCGCATGATGATGCCTGCCGTTCACGCTCAGGCTACTACTGTGATGATGACGATGGCCGTTGCTCACCGCCACCGTCGTCGTCGTGTTCGCTGTGCTGCCGTTCTGCGTCGTGCTGCCGCCGCTTACCGCCGGGAAGCCGCCCGTCGCCACTGAGATCAATCTGCACAGACAGACGTGTATATTTTCAGAGATTTGCTCCGAAGCTAGATTAATTTTTTTACGGACGAATTGTTATTTTTTTTCGATAGCGAAGATGTGATTATGAAACAAACCTCGCGACACTTTGTGCGTTAGCAGTGGTAACCCTGACAATTGCACTCCTGCCGTTTGCTCCGTGAAGATTAAGATTGTGGACATCGATCATTGAACTGCCGGTCGACGAATGGCTCGAATTCGAGTGACCCTGTCCTGATTCTGGACTCGAGGGTGGTGTCAGGATTTGTCCTTCACCTTCACATCCACTATCTTCCTCTTCTTCGATCTCCTGAGAAAAAATTAAAAAAAATATATTATTGACTTCAATTTTCCGAATTCCACAGCTGTTTTGAATATCCGCATTGACGAATAAGCTAAAAGTAAAATACATATTTGCGAAGAACAAACCTCGTGTTCCTCGTCCTCTTCGAGATCTTCGCTGGGTTCTTTTTTGAGGATGAGCGCTCTGCACGACAGCGACGGCGAGCCGTCCCAGGAGAGTGCCGAGCACGCCGAGCTTGCCGAAGACATCGACAATGAGTCCAGATGCCGATCAAGCAAATCCCTGTCGCGGCCGTTGTGACTGTGGTCGCCCGGGCTAAGCTTTATGTCGTCTAGACAGATCGTCTCTCTGTCGTCCGTCGACGTCGTTACCTGTGTGCATTTATGATATCTTCAGTGGATGTTTACTCGTATGGCGATTCAGTGCTGTTTGTATTAAGACATAAGCTTAAAATCTTTCTGAGAATATGTACTCTGTGATTCGGAATCAGTGGAAATTGTACTAATTCATTTTACAGCAATTTCTATTTAGATTGATTTAACAAAAAGCGTTACTGTTGTCTCGATCAAGGATTGGGATTGTCATTTTTACTCGCTCTTATAGTAATGGACATGGAAATAATCGAATTAGAAACTGTGAACGGCGAATCAGTGAATATTCACTGATTCGGTTCCAAAGATTACTTCTCTCAAGGAGTCCGACTAATGCCGTGCTTTACTACTAACGTAAACGACCAAAGGACAGCGCGGCCCAGACCAAAAAAGGGAAGGATAACAAACCTCCATTTTGATTGAGGGCTCGAGCTCGAACCGTGTGTTTGCGGTGCCTGTGGTGGCGGTCCAGATCTGCGGTGCCCTGAATAAATTCCAGGGCGCCGTGTCGAGTTCCGTCGGTAGCTTTTTGTGCAACTGTAGCTTCGGCTCGTCCTTCAGGTACCTTTCCATCTCGTAGCATGTCTGCGAAAATACAAACAAAGCGAGCACGAACTTTAATCATCAGTCAAATTGACAAATACAAGTCAACATCGTATATATGTGTGTGTGTGTATATATATATATACATATATATATATATATATATATATATATATATATATATCGCTCAAGACGTAGAATAATGATTGGAATATAGCAGGAAGGGAAGGGAGGTCTGTTAAATACGAAAATTACTTGGGTGAAGCTTCTGCGCGCAGAGTTAGCTTGCAAGTTGCGCTTTGCCACTTTGACCAGAGAGAGAGAGAGAGAGAGAGAGAGAGAGAGAGAGAGAGAGAGAGGTAGTACTACTGCAAAGTTGTACCATCCAACGCTAGGCGATGTATTGTGTGCGCGACGGTGGCTGCTGCTGCTTCTTACCCTAGGTGATATTCGCGACCTCTTTGTGGCTAGTATCTCTTTCTCTTTCTCCCTTGTCCAACTTGGCCTATGAGATGTCAAAAACTTTTCAGAATATGAGTATTATTCGGCAGATTAGGAAGCTGATTTGCTTAAATAAAACACGCGGCGAGAAAAAAAAATGTCCGATTAGATATGAATCTCCGTTGGCAAAAGGGTCGTTTGTCTAGGCCGAAATGGCTGCTCTGGCAAAAGTGCGATTGGAGAAAGCGTGAGCAGCAACAAAAAGGCGCGTGAAAAGGAAGAGAATCAAGTTCGCCAGAAGCCATTGTTCTTGAGAAATAATCGGGTTAGCCCGAGAGTGAGAGAGCTGCGTTTCCTCCATTATTCACCGTTAAAACTTTACCTTCTCTCGCGATGGTAACGACATTATTATAACTCTGCCCGCGAAAAGAAAATTTTTTTTACGACCGGAATTCTCCGTTTTCTCTCTCTTGCATTCGGATGTCACTTGTACCATTATAACGAACTTGCACGGCCTAATGGTGAAACTAGGTAATAATGCAGTAGCTTGCATTGTTCTAGTACACCCCTCTTTCGTATAGTTCGATTTCTCACTGACATAAATCAAAAACACGTCAGCTGCCACGCATACTGTCACTTACACCCCCCCCTCCCCTTCCTCACCAGTCATTCCAATTCAAATTTGAATTTGAATTCTCATTTGAATCAGAAAGGGAGACTACACGTCTCGCTAGATTGGAAGAGGGGTCGTCGATTCTATTTTTTTAGAATGAAAATGCGATCCGACAACTTTATTTTGGTTTGACGATGAGATTAATGTATTCGAATTTACCCTCGGGGCGGCACTGATTAACATTTGTCCCTTAATGAGAGCAGTTTGCTGTTTTTTAAAAAGTTTCCGCTAGAGTTTGTAATCTGGGTTAATCATTAGTTAAATGAATAATACGCGAGATTAAAACGCAGCCGTTGAAAGTTTTCAAACTGCTCTCTCGCTTACACCAAAGATAAATTTTCATTTCTCTATTAGCATAAATCTGCCTCTCTCGGTCGAGCTCGCACTTTTTTTCGTCGGAATAACCTTGAAAAGAGAGAGAATGAAAATTGAATTTGGTCGATCGATATACCTACCCACTGAAATATTCATCGAGTGTAAGTGAAGTCTATTCCAAATATGTAAAAATGCTGCGGAAGGGACGAGTAAAAGGGCAAGTTTTGGCCTAAAAAGCCAAAGCGGTGACAGTCGATTACCGAAGAGTAGCGGGCTACATGGAACGGACCTTTCGGATATTGCGCGGTCAGGAAATTTAAAGTGAAATTTTGCGAGAGAGCACCGAACGACCACAAGTGCCAGAGAGAGAGACAGACAGACAGACAGAAGCTTTAATAATCGGGGAATACCGACGTGACATTCACGAGCAAGAACAGAATTTTATTTTAAAATGTGAATTTTTTTTAATTTACGATTGGAATTTTGTGTTTGATATTCTTGCTAATTAAACTATTATAGATGAACTCGTGATTTTCACATCGTTTTCTTTTTTGTACTTTGAACAAAAAAGAACACATTTTATCGTTTATAGAAGTTTAAATGTGATTCTTTTTAATCTGAAAAACCAAGGTGCGTGAAGAAAACAAAAACAAATAAAAGTACCTTCACAAAATATTTTGATTGTTACTGCCAGTGCAAAGTTAAAAATTCAAAAGCGCCGAGCGCATGAAGTAAAAAATTTAAGTAACTCGAGAACTCTGATTCGGCCAAGGTGTCAGAAAAGCTAGAACAACAAAAAAAACATACAGAAGCAAGCCAAGTGCTTTTTCGATAGTATCGCCTTGCTCGTTGGTTTACCAGTCTCCACGCGGGAACAGCTTTAACGTAATTGACATTATTTTCTATTGTCCAAATTTCATTGGGATTCTAGTCGTCGTTGCTTGATTACACATAAAATACGATACGTTTAATTTTGATGAATGTTTCGCAGTCGGAGAGGAACGAGCGGAATGGTAGATAAGGCACGCGAGAGAGAGAGAGAGAGCAAATTTCAAATTCAATTTGAATCAGATCAAAATCCATTAAACGCTGATAACCTCGTGCAGTGATTGATAGTTTGTCGATAAGTACAAATAACTTTTAATTTATATTATAAATCTGTAAGCTTAATGATGGGGTAAGCACATAAATGTTTGTGGATTAAAGCACGTAGGCAAACCTGTTCGGATATCTTTTATTTATATGGATCGGTATTTATTTAGCAATTTAAATTATGCAAATTAGCGGATTACGTGATCGAGAGCAATAATCCTCTCAGCTGTACTTATACGCTCAGAGTATCTATCGATTGATAATGAATGATCTGAATTTGAACGAGAAAAAATATTGATTTTGTAAAAGTTGAGTTAATATTTTGTGGACGCTGACACAATAAATTTACGGTTTTCTGTACCGCTGTCTTCGGAAAGTAATCGCACTAAGTTCATTAGCGTGTATTGAAAGTTCATTACTCATTCAAAAGAATCCAATGACGAGCATATGAATAGCCGCGGCTCGTAAAACGAAAGCCGTCGTTTATTTCAGCACATCATTCATATAACTTACGTTGATCAAGAAACACAAGTTCAATGTTCATTCCAATAGCATGCAGGTCTAAATATAGTCTCGCAACAACAGTGCGCGGCATTCATGTACGAACGTTCAAGCATAAGGATCCAAACAAGACGCTGCCACTCTGTTCCACTCTGGAGAGTGCAGCGCTGAGCTTGTAACCGTTGTACCGAATTGACTTTTTACGCGCGCGCATTTCTAGTAACAGTGACCCCTTTCAAGAACTTTATTAAAGTTATAAATCCTCCCCCCCTCGCTTGCCGCACGCTCTATCATTTTTCATCGCGTGTATACACCAAACAAATAAATGTTCCGCTCTTTAAGAGGATTTGTCCGATACGCGTGCCGGATCTTATGAGCCGTGCTTCCTTTTATGACAAGCGAAACGTTACTGCTAATTGTTTTTTCGTCAAGTATTCTCTCGAAAGTGCACTTCGAACGCTTTTTACAGTCTCGTTCCGTCCCGTAATGTTCCGACATGGCGCTCGGAGGAAAGAGCCTCGGAGCATTTAGATTTTGATGAACTCGCCATCGATGCCGTATAAAATCACTTGTTGTCTCTCTCCAAATCAGAAGCCGCCTTGACGACGCGTTTTATAAGCGTTTCGGCATCAATCAATCGTCGCAAGGTGAAAAAACACTAATCGCCCGGACGACGGAGAAAAGAATTCCCTCGGCCAAATAACTTTTTTTTTATCACGAGGGAAGAGTTGAATGGCATCGAAGAAAAGTAGTAGAAAAGAGGCGCGTCGGTGAGACGTCCAATTGATATTTAATTATCCCGATTGTTTCAGGGCTTCCTTCTCGCTCGCTCAGTGACGCCTGGTTCGTAATAGAATTCCAAAGCGCGAGTCCGAAGCGGGAGATCCATTAAAAATTCCTGGCATTTATTTCGACCCCCGTTGCCCCTCCCCCCTACTTTCTCTCTCTCTCTCTCTCTCTCTCTCTCGACTCTTTTGTAGCCGCAGAAGTTGGCAGAGTAATAAGTAGTGAAAGGGCTTGAAAAGAAGGAATTCGCTTGGAGGGGGTTTGAACTTTCTTATCGTTCGTTTTCCTCGCTCGGGCCGCGTGTGCGTGAAAATTTCGCGCCACTTGTTGTGAGTTGACGTGAATGGAGGAAGAGCTATACGAAGCTGAAAAAAGGGGAAGAAGAAGCTTACCGATAAGAGCTCCCCGTCGACTTCATTCTCCCTACGACCCGATACACTAGCCTGTCGAGAGACGAAGACTTGCTTGCTTTTTATGGCTGCATTGTGTGCACAACAAGCCGACTGCACCAGAGCCTCCTGCTTCGATCCGCTGTTGGATAAACATTGCTTCTCTCCGTGCTCTTTCTTTTTTTCGCAAATATTACATACGCGATGTACAAGACTTTCTAGCCACTCAATTTCTGGTTACGACCCACATTCGCTCACGCGAGAAAGAGAGCTAATGTACTCGTAGTTGCAGGTCCGGAGCGAGTAACCTGGCGCGAGCGCACTGTGCAAAAAACTATAGAGCAAGAGTGCCTAAACTAGTGGACGAGTAGAAAGGTAATGTAGAGCAAGTCCCTGCAGTAAAATTCATGCCCTTAATGCGACTCGTCTTGGGAGAAAAATGAATGATAACCAAGTAAGACTCATCCCGACAGACACGCGATATGTAAGTGCGCATCCTCTCTCTCTCTCTCTCTCTCTCCTTCTCAGCTCGCATATATACACACAGGACTTGTGGCATCTTGCCAGGTCGTTAAAGAGATTCTCCTTCTCCCCGTTTCTTCCTCAAAGCAACTTTAAGGGCGCCGTAAAGCTGCGAATTTATCTTCGCGAGTTTCGCTCTTTCTACGTGCGCTCGCGAGAGAGTAGAGGAGGATTCGCAATGCCACTTGGAATTTTCGACGCGCGCACACACACGTACACATAGGTTGTCCCTCTCTCTCCTCTCTCTCTGATTTTGGGAGCAGCTCTAATTTATGAGCTTTTACGAGCTTGCTAACAACTCGTGACGGTTTACCGTTGAG